CCAACTCACCAACGATTCAAGTTGGCATCCCTCCTTGTCCACTGGTGTTGAGTGCTCCCACTGATTCCATGATAACTGAATTCATCTGGGGATGCTGCAGCAGGAAAGGGATCTCCTGCTTCTGGACCCAGTTCATGCCCTTCATGTGCTTGGATGTTAGCTGCAGTTGTGCCAGTGTCTTCCATGGTTCCTTCATGCAGTTGAGAAGAGTGGCCAGGAATGGTATTGACACCAGCATAGTGTCCTCTGTTCAGATGCTATCAAAGACTGGATCTTTTGCCTTCTCTACACACTGCTGCATCTCCAGTCCAAGGGACAGTGCCATCCGAAGGATCATCTTGCAGAAGTGTCCCAGGTTTTCAGAGGGAGACTATGGTCCCTGCACTATAATAACATTATCCAGCAAAGAAGTCAGTGGGTTGTCACATGGAGCTGAGTTGGACACACATTCCTCTGGCACTGAGGAGAGGAGTCATGCTGCCATGGTAAGGCGGTCAGCAGGCGAGGTGGTAAGGAAGGAGAGGATGCCAAAGGCCAAGATTCTACTCTGTCCTTCTGGTTGGTAGCCTGGGAAGTCAAGATGACAACTCAGAGTAGGTGGTTGATGCCATTGGTCCAAGAGCCTGTTCTCCTCTGATACTGCCAGCATTGTAGTGGGGGTATCCAGGTGGTTTCTCAGTCCCAAGCAGGCAGATAGGAATCTGGAGTGGTTGAGGGGATGGAGGCCAGAAGCCTGAGATGGCACTTAAAAATAGCCACCAGTTGTGTGTTGAAAGAGGGTGGCAACTAGGTGAGGCAATAGCGGCAGAAGCAGTGGCCCTTGGCACAGTGATGAAAACAATGTCCTAGCCAGCGAGGCTGTGGAAGAAGGGTATGCTGGAGTGCAAGCTGGTGAATCCCATGGAACTTGGGACTGGGCCATGTTAGTGTTGACTCTGGGCCTGTGCAGGCACACTTGACATCAGTGGGGAATGATGCACCCTAGGCTTCTTCTTATGTTTGATCTTTCAGGCTGGGTTTTCAGGCCAGGCAGGCCTTGTCCAAGTGTCCAGGAGTAGATGGGGTGGATGGCACAGTTAAAGAAGTTCCTGCAGCTGCACATGGGGGGCATGAAGCAGGCATAGCCTGAGAGGCAGATGGGCAGGCCACCGAGACCAAATTGGAGGCCTGAAAGGTGAACTTCAGCACTTGGCCCTGAGCCACCCAGCATGGTTTTTCCCGGCCTGCTTAGTGAAGGCTTGAGAATGTAGACAGAACTCCATGAGGTGCCCCTCCCCAAGGCAGAAAAGCAACAAAGAATGACCATCAGTGGAGGGAGATGACTTCTACAGCTAACACATTTCCAAAATGGTGACTTGTGTTCCATCAGGGAAGAAAAAAGAGGGAAAACAGAGAAACAAAACACTGGGGCATAGAGAGAGGAAAGACAGAAGGGCTTTTTCTTTTGTGAGAGTGGGGGATTTTTTGCGGGGGAGGGTTAGGTTATGGTTAAAAGCATAGTAAAAGTAGAATATTAGGCAGAAAGGCTAGAAACATGAAATCAAATATGAATCAAATGAGTCAAATAGGCAAATATTGAGAGAGGAAAGTCCTGAGGGACCCACAGTGGCAGTAAGGGAAGTGGGGAAAAGGGAGGGAACCTCTTCTAGATGAGATGCCAGGGAAAGGGTTCCTGCCAAAACAAGTCTAGCTTAGAAATCCTCCCAACAACAGGCCCCATACATGTGCTGCACAGAGACCATGAAGAAGTAGTAATAGTTCTATCACTGGAGCCAAAGTCAATAGTGAATCCAAAAGTGGAAATAGAATCAGCACTGGAGACTAATACCAAACCTCCTTTAAGCTCCCTTTTCTGCTTTTTCTTCCTATGCTTGTCAATGGCCTTAGGCACCTGTTACATTTTAGATATTTTTTTGGCCAGTGAGACTATCGAGGAACTACCTAGGGTCAGAGAAACAGTATGGGCCATGGATAGAACCTGACCAGGAATAGAAGGTCTCATTGCTGCAGTCACTGATCATGTCAGGGGCAGCTGAGCTTGCATGAGTCATAATCTTTTGAGTCCCAGTTGTTTCCAATGCCTGCTTCCACAAAACAGCTCTCAATCTAACTGACAGAATCCATCATGTCTCTTTTGTAAATATCTAGTAATGAGCACAGGTATCTATGACATGACCTTCCCCTAAGCAGAACAGGCACAGAGAGTGGGTGTCTGTTGGAGGGAGTTTACTCCTACAAGAAATACACTTTCTGAATGGGACCTTTAAGATTATATGGCTTGAAGCCATGCAAAGAGAGTAAGAAGAAAAGAAAAAATACTAAGAAGAAAATAATAAGAATCTCAGCAAATCACATTCCAATGGACAAGAGCTCCCTCAAGACTACCTTAGTGGCAGCTGAAGAGGAACTGAAAAATGGACAGGAACTTCCTGAATTATGCATATTAGACACTGGGGGAAGGTTCCTGCCAAAAATTTCTCAGCTATGGAAGTTTCTTGATGAAGGCTTAATCCACATATAGAGTCGATATATGTGATACACAGAGACCACAAACAAGAAGACTGTAGAAAAAAACAGACATACATATGGCTGTGGACAATAAGAAGAATATCCCAGATTCCAAGATTTAAGTCAATAAAAGCACAACTTTATGCACTGAGTTCTTAAAAGACAGATGGCACCAAGCTTGACACTCTAGCCCCTGCCAGGTGAGGAAGATGCAGGCACAATTACTGCAGAACAGTAGTAATTTCAACCTCCATTCATCCATTTCAAATACAAATGGCAGTTAGATGGGCCATCTGAACTTACTTAATATTTTTAGGGTGGGAGGAGAGTGGTGAGGCCATAGGATACTGTCTAACTGGGCCTCTCTTCCTGGTATAGCAGCAAATCCTCTTTTCTCATCATTTCTCTCACAGTTCACATGAGCTCACAGTTGCAACCTCATGCAAGCAGCTTTCCAGAGCTCCTGGGAAGGGGTGAGAAGATCCAGAACTAGATTCCCCAATTCTGTGCTTACAGTTCTGTCTATGGATGCAGAGGAGGAACTCCCCACCCAATGTGCCCCAGTTGCTGCCTAGGGACACTCAGACTGCTCTTTCACCCTAGGGCTATAAAGGCATCTTTTAAAGAATTACCACCATGCTCCATGTGGAAGCACAACTGCAAGCTGAGACTAAGACATCTAGCTGAGTTCTGTAAGAAGAATTTAGATCCTTTATACACTGGGAACATTTGAAGCAAGGAGAAAATGTAAGAAATGGGCATGCTCCACTAGAGCAATAAGGAAACCAGAGAACTATTAGCATAAAAAATATAATGGTAATAAAGCAGCATTAAGAATGACTCCTGCAAAAACAGATAGTGATGAACTTTTGGTTCAGGATGATTAATTTCTTAGAAATTATGAGATAAATTAGGAACTTAAATTAAGGCCAAAAGGCATAGGTTAGAAGGGTCAAAGTCCTCAGCAAGTTGGAGATTATTTCAACAAGAAAACATATTGGATGAATAATGTGAACAAGCCGATTCAAAATGATGCTGTGTTAATCATTACACATGATTAAACAGTCAAGGAAGATATAAAAATAAGGCTTCAAAAGCAGAAGTATGTATCCAATCAAATGGGACATATTCTCAGATGGACAGAGTTTAAACTTAAAATGAGGTCAGCCAAGAAGAATTTGAGAAGCAAACTGAGCATGTTGCAAGAATGAATAAAAATGTATTTAAATACAGGAGCTGCAAACTAATGAGAAAAGCCACACAGGTGTTAGATAATAAGGTATAAAAATATGTGTGATTTGGTGAGTCAGAGAAACTACAGACAGTCTTTCCTTTTTTATGTCAATACTAGAGGGATGCCTACAGTTGAATAATTTTTCCCAGACCTGAACCTCAAAAACTATCGACGAAGGAGGTTTTAAGACATAATCACAGGGACTGCATTGAATGTTAGTCCTACATAGAGGAGACCCATTTAAATAAGTGGGACTTCAGTTAGACTAATACTGCATTCAACCCCAAGAGCAGATAGCATCACCAAAGTACACATTACAAGCCTCAAAGTACTCCTGCATCAGATGTTACACATGAGAACCAAGACTGTACCTTCCAAGACAGAAGTGTATTTTACGATTTCTATATGGAAGGAAGGATGCATCCCTTATTACACTGGTGATTTTGAGTTATACCAATTCTCTTGCATCTTGATCCACATCCTGCTTTTCTTTTCTCACAATTCACGTTGTTTCTTTATAAAGCCAAGTATTTTAAATTTTACATGCCAGCAAGCATTTTTTCTTCATGTTTCTCAATACCACAGCACCCTACAATACCTCAGTTAAAACTGCTGTCAGTACTACCAGCATACAATATCAGACCTTCACACATGCGTATGGAGAGGCATTCTCAAATGCTCCACTGTGCACCATTTCCCTGGAGACTTGCCAAAGCTTTATTCTGGAAGTAGGACCTTCCCATTTTGGTGGCTGGACTTTTAAGTCTTTGGTAAAGGGCATGATAAGATTTAAAATCAAAGCAGTATAAGCTGTAAAGTTTTAATACTTGGTTTGTATTTTAACATGCTTTTTAAAATGTGCATTTTTGAG